CCGGCCATCAGCTCCTCGTCGAAGACGAGCGCGGCGCAGCCGGGGCAGCGCGAGCAGCTGGACAGCAGCACCTGGGGGCAGCGGGGACTGCGGGCGCAGCGGGGCCTGACCCCCGAGGGGTGTGCCCCCAAGATGGGGTCTGACCCCCGAGGGGTGTGCCCCAAAGCTGGGGTCTGACCCCCGAGGGGTGTGCCCCAAAATGGGGTCTGACCCCCAAAATGGGGCCTGACCCCCGAGGGGTGTGCCCCAAAAGATGGGGCCTGACCCCGTGGGGTGTGCCCCCAAGATGGGGCCTGACCCCCGAGGGGTGTGCCCCAAAATGGGGTCTGACCCCCAAAATGGGGCCTGACCCCCGAGGGGTGTGCCCCAAAAGATGGGGTCTGACCCCCGAGGGGTGTGCCCCAAAATGGGGTCTGACCCCAAAGATGGACCCTGACCCCCGAGGGGTGTGCCCCAAAGATGGGGTCTGACCCCCAAAATGGGGCCTGACCCCCGAGGGGTGTGCCCCAAAGCTGGGGCCTGACCCCCAAGGGGCGTGCCCCCAAAATGGGGTCTGACCCCCGAGGGGTGTGCCCCCAAAATGGGGTCTGACCCCCAAAGATGGGGTCTGACCCCCGAGGGGTGTGCCCCCAGGATGGGGTCTGACCCCCGAGGGGTGTGCCCCAAAGCTGGGGCCTGACCCCCGAGGGGTGTGCCCCCAAAGATGGGGCCTGACCCCCGAGGGGTGTGCCCCAAAATGGGGTCTGACCCCAAAGATGGACCCTGACCCCCGAGGGGTGTGCCCCAAAGACGGGGTCTGACCCCCAAAATGGGGCCTGACCCCCGAGGGGTGTGCCCCAAAGCTGGGGCCTGACCCCCGAGGGGTGTGCCCCCAAAGATGGGGTCTGACCCCAAAGATGGGGTCTGACCCCTGAGGGGTGTGCCCCCAAAGATGGGGCCTGACCCCCAAGGGGTGTGCCCCCAAAATGGGGTCTGACCCCCGAGGGGTGTGCCCCCAAAATGGGGTCTGACCCCCGAGGGGTGTGCCCCCAAAGATGGGGCCTGACCCCCAAAATGGGGCCTGACCCCCGAGGGGTGTGCCCCCAAAATGGGGTCTGCCCCCAAAGATGGGCCCTGACCCCAAAGCCGTGGTCTGACCCCAACCCCGAGCTCTACCCCCAACCCCCTGTGCTCCCCAACCCGAGCTCTGCCCCCAAACCTCAGCTCTGCCCCCACTCCCCTGTCCCCCCCAACCCCGAGCTGTGCCCCCCAACATCCGCACCCCTCTCACCTCCAGGGCGGGGGGCTCTGTCCCCGCCGCCCCATCCACGGAGGGCTCGGCGGATTTGGGGGCCCCGCTGCTGCCCCCCGAGGCGTCGGACAGGTCCAGCTCGCTGCCCAGGGACACGGAGCTCTGGGGGGACGGCCGGGGTCAGGGACAGCCGGTGACACCCCGGTGACACCCCGGTGACACCCCGGAGACACCCCGGTGACACCCCGGAGACACCCCGGTGACACCCCGGAGCCGCTACCTCGGACGCCGTGGACTCGGGGCGCTCCCGGGGCTGCCGCAGGCTCTCGGCGGGGCTGCAGCGGGACGGGCGCTCCGGGTCCGGCGGCTCCGAGCCCCGGCGAGCCCCGAGCTCCCGGGGCCGCTCCGCGGGCCGCTTGCCGGGGGACAGCAGCTGCTGCAGCTTGGCCGCCAGCCCCCGGCGAGGGGTGGCCACACCGGGACCGCCACCGGGACGGCCACCGGGACCGCCCCCGGGAGCCCCGGCCGGGCCCTCGTCACCGCCGCTGTCGTCGGTGGCGATGTCCGAGAGGCTCCCGTCGGCGGAGCGCGGCGGGCCGGGGGTGGCGGGGAGCAGCAGCGGGCTGTCCCGGTTGTCCCGTTCGTCCCGGCTATCCCGGGTGTTCCGTCTGTCCCGTCCATCCCAGCCGTCCCGTCCGTCCCGTCCGTCCCGGCTGTCCCGTCCGTCCTGGCTGTCCCGTCCGTCCCGTCTGTCCCGTCCATCCCAGCTGTCCCGGCTGTCCCGGCTGTCCCGTCCGTCCCGTCTGTCCCGTCCGTCCCGTCCGTCCCGTCCATCCCGGCTGTCCCGTCCGTCCCGTCTGTCCCGTCCGTCCCGTCCGTCCCGTCCATCCCGGGTGTCCTGTCCATCCCGTCTGTCCCGGGTGTCCCGTCCGTCCCCACTGTCCTGTCCGTCCCGTCCGTCCCGTCTGTCCCGTCCGTCCCATCCATCCCGGCTGTCCCGTCCATCCTGTCCATCCCGGCTGTCCCGTCCATCCCGTCCGTCCCGTCCGTCCCGTCTGTCCTGTCCGTCCCGGCTGTCCCGTCCATCCTGGCTATCCCGGGTGTCCCGTCTGTCCCGTCCGTCCTGTCCATCCCGTCCGTCCCGTCCGTCCTGTCCATCCCGTCCGTCCCATCCGTCCTGTCCGTCCCGTCCGTCCCACCCGTCCCGTCCATCCCGGGCGCCGCCGGGGAAACTGAGGCTGCCGCTCTTGAGCAGCCGCGGCGCCGCGTCCCGCAGGCTCCGGCCCGCCCAGCTGGTCTGGCGCTGCAGCGGCGGCCGCGGGGCCCGGTCACCTGCGGGGGACACCGGGGTCAGCACGGCGGCCCCCGCCCCAAAACAGCCCCGTTCTCCCGGGGAGGGGCCCCGGGGGCTCCATCTGCTCTGGGTGGGGTGCTAACTGGAATTTGGTGTTCTCTCAAGAAGAAAGTTCTTCCTTACTGCAGATGGGCTTTCTGATGGTCTAAATAAATTTGCTGCCTTCTGTCTTATAGAAGTTATTTTAAATGCTTCCCTGAGTTTTTTTGGGTCTTTGACATACCTGCTTTGAAGGAAGTAGTTAAAATGTAAGCAAAATGCTTAAAATGTAGGGGGTTTGGGGCTAGTTACAACAGTGGTTTTTTTACTCATTTTTACTCAACTTTTTACTCATTTTTAGTTCACTTTAGCTTTCACTGCAGCGAAATTTTGTGATCATCTTGCTAAACTAGTAATAAATTCTGTTCTTAGGTATCCTGATAGGATTAACGTGTGCTGCTATACTAGCGCCGACTGAAGTTTTATATTCCTGTGCTTTAGATGTGTCGGGCTAACGAATTCATACAGCTTAAAAAATACAGTTTTCTCTAGTTTCTACCTGGTTAACCTTGCTTAGGCCACCTCGAC